TGATGTAACATACCATATAAAGCTTTGAAATTAGTACTGGCTCCCTGTGTAATTATTCTGTTGAATTTGAAAGCTAACAAATTATTTCTTTACTATTATTCATAATTGTTACAGTTTAATGCTTTAACCCATTAATAGCCGCAGCTTTTGTGAAAAACTGTGTTTTGAAGCTAGTCGAGCAGATTTTGGGTCGTTGTGGTTTTAAAAGCTCAAACTTACCACAAGCCCATTGACAGCTTTTACACTCAATGGCCTAAAATCTCGGGCACGCGCAGAAAGCAAAATTTCGAGATAGTTTTTGGGTTGAAAAGTAATGCCCCACTTACGACTTTTACTTTTCTCTCTTTCTCCTGCCCTTTTTTTCCCCTCTCCTTGCCTGAAGTTTCTCCTCACTTGCTGGAAATTTAGTAGGCTTCATTTTGGTGTAGAGATTTTTTAGGAAACTACTCATTATTTTCAAACCACATGCTCAGAAAGGTAGGTGGGTAATGGAACAAGATTTTCGTGCAGATTTTCAGGTCAAAGTTACATGGTTTTTTGGCTATTTCTCCAATCTCCTTCACTCAATTGCGCTCATTCTGGTATCGTTTGTAAGATATTTTCAACCTGTTTAAGTACATGCTCAAAGTCATGCTCCAGGGTTAAAAGTGACAACGTCACAAGGTGTAGAAGGGTGTGGTTCCACATGGGCGCTTACGGGTGCACTGGACATCAATAGGTTAAAGTATAGGGAAAGGTCTGTCAAAGGTAAACACAACATTCTCTGCCGCTGACTGTGAGACATATTTCAGTAAAAGAGGTAATGTTGCCAATTTTGTATTAAGTATATAGCTAGGAGGAGGTGCATCTGACATTGTAAATGCTTCGAGTGATTATGAAACTGGAGAGGTAAGATGCTACTGGTATATTATTTTAATGCAGAACAGCAGATTAAGACCGGAAAGAAATGAGAAACTTGCATCACGTTTATGCTCAAATTGGAAGTCACATAACCAAGTCACAGGATGGATGGCATTACAGCAAACCACCTTATTTTTTAACATCACCCTTGAACCAATCAGTTTTCTTTACTCATATCAGTTGACCTATGTAAAGTAGCTAGGATACCAAGCCTTTGAAAGTAAAAATGGTGTCAGAAAAACCTTGTATAGAAAGACCCATCAATCCAACATGTACAATATCCTTTCTGCATGACTAAAGGCAAAAGTTTGGTTCATGACGAATACTAAAAATCTTTAACTTTTCAGGGATTGAAGAGAATGCCACATTCATCCAAAAAAGTGGCACAAACTGAGAGATAAGAGGCCCTGTTCATAGCACAATGCTTGCAACCTACCATCAGTGTCTTCCATCTTGGATGTGCCAGGTTGAAGTTTGGCTATTTCAGCCAATATACTGTATTTGTATGGAAGTGCAATATGACTCTTATACAGGATTTGCTTAATTTGTTGGGGATCAAAGACAAAATGAGTGTGAACCTCGAAATTTTGTCCAAAGCAACAACTCACTGACACGACAACACACCGAGGCTCACAAGTACAAAAATTAATTTCAATCGGTTAAAATTGTTTAATATTAGCTCTTTGCCATACAAATCCCTAGTAGCTTCGGACATTTTTAAAGGGCGTTAAGAAAACTATGCGCATGCTTGGCTGCCATGATGTCTTACATTTCTGCCCATGATTTAAGCCCAGCACAAAATATTCAAATTTAAGGTGTAACAAATAATATTTTTCTCACATCTTAACATACTTTTTCACATCTTTTCTCAAGCAACGAAAAAATCTCAAGTAATTTTATCAGTTATGGTTTGCAACTGCACATCAGCTCATAAAAGTAACTAGTATATGCTTTGTACAGCAAAACAAAACAACAGCACTCGTTCTCAGAATGAAAAATATTAAAGTTTCTCGCTAAATACTTAAAATAAAAAGAATCAGGAATTAATTGCAACAATCTGCCCATCAGGCAGTTTTCAGGTTTATTGTCCGATCCTTACCTCTGCTTGTGGATCTGAAAATTATATTGCACGTGTGTTCCAATTGGAGTTTTCTACCTGCTCTCCCGTGGTTTTTTCCATCCAAACTCCATAGAAGAAGAGCTAATGTGTACTAAGAAGCATGTAATCTTTAAGGTACCATTTTTGGTCCTGTTTGTTACCAAAATAAGCGATTCTCTTTGTCATTTTCTCGAATACATCAATATTAACGCCGCCATGTTGAAATCAACATTAACTAGTTTCCAGTGTATTTCGTCCGGAAAAACAATTGCTCACGCGTCACGCGAAGTTGCGCGACTCTCTAGGGAACTTCTGTCACCAGGAGAGAAAGCCTTTTCTGTAGAGTTTCCTTCTCCCAAAGGATTGCTACTGCCGATATGTTCAGGAGCTTCATCTGATATGTTCCCTGAGCCCGAATATTGGGCCATCAAGCCACTGACTATAAAATTGTTTACCATCCTGAAAATGAATTTAAGTAATTCCCAACATCAGATTGCACATTCTCAACGCTTTTCTTCATATGTTTCCTATGGTGCTGACACCAACCTGACATGTGAGTGACATGGAAACGAATTTGTCAGAAAACTCTATAAAGGCAAGACGATTCAGATCTCTGCTTGTGAAAACTGCTTAATTCCCGGCCTAGCTATCTGAAAAGTATCTAGTTAATAAAACACCAATAAGAAAAATCTCAAGAGAATAGAAGTGATCCTCCCTTTTATTTCAGAGAACAAGGACATTTTTGGAGTTGGAGGTTAAAATTTCACTCCTTGAAAAAAGTATCTTTTACTTAAGTATGTTTAATTTCAACTTTGTTATTGTAAGGTCAGTTTCTTATTTCCGTTGCAATTGATAGCAGTAACAATTTGCACGAGGCATTTACTGAGCTATTAAACTATTATTGATCAGAAAGTTATGAGTATAAATGATAGACTGTTGAATTAAATTAAGCAGAACTTTATTTGTATCTTGCTCACTTGACTCTCTACCCATTTGTCATACACAACAATCAACATCTGTAACAAAGTGGGTACGCATATTCTTAATTTGGGTACAAATCGACTAGGTACGAAACGACTGGACATCAGTGGACCTCCCTAACTTCTATGCGTTGTTTTCCGAACGGAGGTCTCAAAGAGATTTACTCTTTGTATTTTGTAGATCATGCATACAAATGCGAATAGAAGAAAAGTTAAATGAAACTAGAAAAGATGATTTGGTTTATCAACTGAGTTGATAATGATTCAACATTAGTCCTTTCTCAGAGCAAAAAGAGGAATACTGTGGGTTGTGTGTGGTTTATATAGATGTAGGGTGAAAGATCTAGGTAAATTAGAAACCTTTAAAACTCTTTAAAAGAAATATATTAGTACTATAGACATTCACTTTTGTGCTCCGAATAGTGTTTTCATGGCAATGTCAAATTAGTACAAAAGTGAAGGCAATAAGGACATACACATATTCCATCATGTGGGGAAAATTTAATAAAGAAGTAGTGTAGTACTCTAGACATTTTAACATTGTTTAAAACTTCTATGTAAGTTGAATGGCCAACTGACAAGGTCCAACACAAAATTGGTTCTGTAAATTGCATAGGCAATTTCAGTGAATCAAAAGAGCAAATTAGGATTTTCTTGAGAAATGTGACGTTCCCTACACATTATCCTCAAAAATAGCTTCCAAAAATTTCCAGATATGGTTTGTTTCTTTCTCTACAAGTGCCTTCAAAAAGACCTAAAAAAACCCTGAATCCCAACGTAGTTACTAAAACAAGTATGTCATTTAAAGGGTTAAGATCGAGAGGGGGGTACACCAAGTAATCTATTTTTCCTTAGTCTCGCATTGCAACTCCTAAGTCTGGGTATTTGGGATTCACCTAGATACTAAAACAAGGAATGACCTGCAATGAGCTACAATGACCTACAATGAGCTACAATGAGCTACAATGAGCTACAATGAGCTACAATGAGCTACAATGAGCTACTTTGAGCTACAATGAGCTACAATGAGCTACAATGACCTACAATGACCTAAATGAGCTACAATGAGTTACAATGACCTGCAGTGACCTACAATGACCTGCAATGACCTACAATGACCTACAATGAGCTACAATGACCTACAATGAGCTACAATGAGCTACAATGACCTGCAATGACCTACAATGACCTGCAATGACCTACAATGACCTACAATGAGCTACAATGACCTACAATGAGCTACAATGAGCTACAATGATCTACAATGACCTACAATGAGCTACAATGACCTACAATGACCTACAATGACCTGCAATGACCTACAATGACCTGCAATGACCTACAATGANACCTACAATGACCTACTGACAATGAGCTAAAATGAGTTACCGTGGGAACAAGGAATGACTTAAAATGATCCACAATGACCTACGCAGGGGCAGATCCAGCAATTTTTCATTGGGGGGCTCCAAACTTTGGTTCAGAAAGGACTGTTGGACCGAGGAAAATTACTTGTCTCTCACACCCCCCACACCCCCTCCCACCAGTAGCAGTTGCACGTTATAATTCCTTGGCCACTTACCGTTTACTGGGATTCATTAAAAAACATCAGCCAGTTAAAAGGTGTTACATAGGATCCTGTCGATGTAAGAATTTCAGTCTCAAAGTTGTAAGCGTCAGGTCTGATAAGGGGTGGTCCGAATGCCCCGGACCCTCCCCCTGGATCCGCTACTGCTACAATGATTTACAATGACCTACAATGTACTACAATGACCTACAATGAGCTACAATGACCAACAATGAGCTATTATGAGTGTTACGAAAAATTGTGGCGTGACTGGCGTGACTTTGCGCATGGGTTTGTCATTAGGCAAAAAAGTTTAAATAAAGATACCTAATGAATAAACTTACCACAATTATTCCATGAATAAGGCTTATGATCTGTTCCGGAGAAGATATTTACACAAGATGACAGCAACTTAAGATGACACAGAATGGGTAAAAAGAGTGAATAGTGCCAAAGAAGACCGACATAGCCTCATGATGGTGTGATGACCTTTTTGTTTTGCTGTCTAAAAATATCAATGAGTTAAAGGTGTTGACAGGCCAAATACGACTCATAGACTGGATAGTGCAAAATTATAGGAGGCTTGTTATATAAGACCCTCAAAGACATCTTAAGCCAAAAGTTTTTCGCATTTTTTTTATCATTATCGCCATTACACATGTCGCATTATAATACACCGTAAATTTATCTCCAAGCTAGAAACTCTGTTATTATTCGGCCTGTTATTCAGTAGACAAAAAGCAAACACGTTACGTTAATGCACACGTCTTCTGTTTTTTTGTGTTTGTTTTTTGTTTTGCCTTTTTTCCAAAATCTTCATTTACTTCATTACAGGGATCTTACAGTAGCTCATTGTAGGTCATTCCTTGTTTTAGTAACTACGTGAATCCCAAAGACCCAGACTGCAAGACTAAGGAAAAATAATTTGGATATATCAGCAAAGTTGAAGTGGTAAATTGGCCACCGTAACGATTACAAAAGCTGACGTTTCGAGCGTTAGCCCTTTGTCGGAGTGAAGGGCTAACGCTCCGACGAAGGGCGCTCAAACGTCAGCTTTTGTAATCGTTACGGTGGCCAATTTACCACTTCAACTTTGTTGATATATCCAAATTATTTCGTTACTCCCACCGACACAGCTCCAAACAGTTTCTTTCGAAACTATCAGGCTTTATTCTAAGGAAAAATAGATTACTTGGTGTACCCCCCTCTCAATCTTAACCCTTTAACTTACATGGGTGATTAAGACAATTATTATATCCTGTAAAACAGAACTCGTACGTGTGAAGGGTACAAAATGTTTCAATTACTCGCTAGGTACACACAACTGTGCAGGTAGGATATCAGGATAATGGGATCGGATTTAAAACTCCCTTCGCAGCTAAAAATATCAGGAAACAGAAATACAGTAAATTGAACATAGATATCCATAAGCTACGGCACAGCTCGGAAAGAGTACCATATAAGCCCATACATTAATTATGCATTCCACTTCTTTGTCTTTCATGACAAAACTTTAAAAACAAAGTCTACTAGTCTGAATGCATAATTAACGTATGGGGTTATAGGGTACTCTTGCCGCACAGCCCACCTCGAGCATGTTTTGATCTGAGCTGCAGCTGAGCTCCACTTTAATTTGGGATTTTATATCTGCTGTGACGTCGTCGTTTTATCAACCAAACTCCATGAAACAAGAGAAAAATGTGTTGCAAGGATGGAGCAACTTCAGAATACCCGTCCACATCATTTACATGTGTCGGGAGGCTTTGAAGAATGAGGCATAACACAATAGATGCTATTCTTATTCAAGAGTGGCCGGGTATTCTGTTATGTTTACGATGTCGTTCCTTTTCCTGTTTTGATTGTAAATTAGGTAATTCCATCACATTATTCCTTAAAACTATCAACATTTAACTGGCGACTAGGCGACTAAATACAAACATGCCGCCATGTTGAATCTACTCTTTACTTGTTCCCGTGTCCTCGTCCGTTCGAACAAACGCATCACTTGTACGACGGCGACGGCAACGAGGACGTAGAAAACCAAGAGATCTAATTGGCAGAACAATAGCTCAGCACGTGCATTTTGAAACTTTGTACATTTCTTAACCGTCCTATGCAAAACAACAACGTGAAATCGCCAAAATTTGCGTCATCTGCGAGCCGAAACCGCGACGGCAAACATATTAATTCCCATTTGGAACTCAACGCTACTTTTATACGTCATACTGAAGTTGAACTGTGGCGCCGTATGAGACAATAAGTTCATGTAGCTATTTTTGAAATTCTAACTATTAGAGTAGAAATTCATTTTATAATCGAAGTCTTCCTTGGCGTTGCCGTCCTGACTGCTTAAGGTCCCTACGCTGTCAAAACTCGTTTTGCGAGGCCTCCAAAATAATCACTTTTCACTTATTGTAAACCTTGAATTGTGAATTGTTAAAGGACTTCTTACCTCCTAATTTAAACGCTTGCAGCTTCTACTTTTTTAATGCTACCCTTTTATCTCTTTTTAATACATACAGACCAGAAAGAGAAACATAAAAGAAGCGCTTTCAGGTAGAAAACAGCAGTTCGCTCACGGCTCCTTTACTTTGACGCCTTGATACTTTTAATTGAGCGCCTGTAAGAAACGCTTTCTACGTTATAACTCTTATTATGTTCCGTAGACTCAAGAATAAATTTAAAGGAAAATTTTTATCGTTAGATAACATTTTGGCAGACTATGTGCGCACGGATCGTGATTTGGAGGAATAACGCTAATTCGCCAATAGAAATCGAGCGCAAATTTGATTTCCATTTTATTAAACGTTTCAGAATAATTGCGCCTTAGTGAACATCGCCGAAAGATAAAGAAATAGAAGTAATGAATCGAAAACAGATGGAAGCTACGTTAATCATTGACTTTAGTATCATTTGGTGGCTCCTAAAAGAGCCGTTTGTTTTGGCGGGAAACCCACAAAGTGAGTTTACTTGCTGCTGGTGTACTTGGTCACAGCCTTGGTTCCTTCACTCACGGCGTGTTTCGCCAGTTCACCGGGCAGAAGCAGCCTGATGGCGGTCTGGATCTCGCGAGAGCTGATGGTCGATTTCTTGTTGTAGTGGGCAAGGCGGGAAGCTTCGGTGGCGATGCGCTCGAAAATGTCGTTGACGAACGAGTTATGATGCCCATGGCTTTGCTGGAGATACCAGTGTCAGGGTGAACTTGCTTCAACACCTTGTAGATGTAGATAGCATAGCTTTCCCTTCTCTTTCCTCTCCTCTTCTTCTTTCCATCAGCAATCGCTTTTGCCTTTCCGGCTCTCTTCTCGCCTTTCTTTCCTGCAACCTTGGGTGGCATCTTGGTAAATCACAAAGATGAAATAATAGTCTGCCCATTTGTCTTGTATTTATAACAGAATTGTAAGATGATCTATTATCATACGGATCGAAATTCTCGAGGAATGATTGGCTAATTGTTAAACTTACCCTGGAATCAATTAGTATTATTGTCATTCTCTCTTTATTCAGGAAGTAAGCCCACAAAAGACCAACAACTGATTGGTGCTTTTCGATCCTACCTGCATAATAAACGAACTATAAATATCAGAGTTAGTCCTAACATATAAAAATTCGTTGAGGCTCCTTCATAGCATCATGTCCGGTCGTGGTAAAGGAAAAGCTAAGGGCACCAAGTCCAAAAGCCGCTCATCCCGAGCAGGGCTTCAATTCCCAGTTGGTCGAATCCATCGTCTTCTCCGCAAAGGCAATTACGCCGAGCGAGTTGGCGCCGGTGCTCCAGTGTACTTGGCTGCTGTGCTGGAATATTTGAGCGCTGAGATCCTCGAGTTGGCGGGCAACGCTGCTCGTGACAACAAGAAAACTAGAATTATTCCCCGTCACCTTCAGCTGGCTGTGCGTAATGACGAAGAGTTGAACAAACTGCTCGCCGGTGTCACCATCGCACAGGGAGGTGTTCTTCCCAACATCCAAGCGGTACTTCTACCCAAGAAGACCGAGAAGAAACCCAAGGCTTAAAACAGCTATAAATCACTAAAACGGCTCCTTTAGGAGCCACCACATACGTAAAGGCCTTGACCAAGGAGCGAAATAACTCTTAAGCACCAAATTAATCTACTCTAATTAAAAAAAAAAAAGCCTGAGACTCTCCACATAGTTACACGAAATCCTATCCTCAAGGTATTCTCTAAATTTGAATTAAGGATTTTCTATCAAACTGTACCCACTATATCGTTTGATCTGTCACATATTTCTGCTTGTTGAGGAAATTTGCGTCAGAACTCGATATAAGATGACTCAAACCTTAACGACAAATGAAATTTTGACTTCCAATGTGAGAAAGGTCCTTAGTCTTTTCTTGATAAATGTTTTCATCAGCGGGAAAAATAACATTAATTTTGTGATGAGATAAAAAGGGATCGATGTGCATGCGTCGTGTTCGAAGGCATCGTCAGTTTGAAAGTTTGATTTAACCGCCGTCGCGGCTAGAAAGTGCGCCAAAACCAACTTGATACGCAAATTTCCCCACCATAAGACCCCAAAAACTTTATTAAACAGACAACCTCAAAAATTTTCGCCATAATCTTACTCGAGCGCAACCGAATAATTGCTCGCAGCTTTATAGGAAGTGGCAATGAATAGCGCAAGCTGGGAGCGAATATCCAACAAAGCCGAAAAGGAAATGTAACTAAGTTCTTCCAAGTGTAAGATGTAACTTGGTCACGACTTTTATATCATTTGGTGGCTCCTAAAGGAGCCGTTTGTTTTGTGTCAGGAGCGACTGTCTAACCGCCAAATCCGTAAAGAGTGCGGCCTTGTCTCTTCAAAGCGTACACCACGTCCATGGCTATCACAGTCTTCCTTTTGGCGTGCTCGGTGAATGTCACAGCATCACGGATCACGTTCTCAAGGAAAACTTTAAGAACGCCACGAGTCTCCTCGTAGATCAGGCCAGAGATTCGCTTGACACCGCCACGGCGAGCAAGACGACGGATAGCTGGTTTGGTGGGGTGTCTCGAAAACACAGACCTCGAGACCACAGACCGCAGACCTCGAAAACACAGACCTTGAAAAATATTTTTTCGACATTTCGAAGAGAACCGCGGTTTTGAAGCAGTTTTTTTTTTTCGATGACAGAGATTTAGTCAAAAGAAGC